TTCACAGCGCATCTGATCCTTATACATTTCAAACAAGTCATGCATCTGAAAATCATTTTCTATTCACATCTTCACATAGCCTTTTGTTAAAGAACCACACACTAGGAGACTGGCTACTGGACCACTGGAACTCATTGCGCAGGCTTGTCAACAGCAAATCGAAGGAAAATGAAGCTACTTCAACATCCCACTTAATCAAGTGTCCCTTTGTGTATGCTTTTCTACCAGTGCTGTTTCTGGTACAGAATCCTTCTACTTTCATCACTAGCGAGAACAATGAAACCCTAGCAACAAACAAAATCAACCCCAAATCCAATGAATCCCTATCAATAGCCTCAACGAAATCTACCGGGGACGATCTCATTCACTATAGAGGGAAGAAAAAGGAAAGAGGCAGAGGATAAATACCCGCCCTCGTCGTCCGCCATCTCCGTCGTGCCACGCGGCTGCGTCTCACCCATTGGGCGCAATAGGGTGCATCGCAGCATGCACGCAAGTTGGGTGCTTCTGGTCGTCGCAGTCTATGCCGCCAAAGACAGGGTCGCCGCCGTCCTGCTCGCCACCGTCATCGGGGTGAGGGTGAGTGAGAGGAGACAGAGCGTGAGGAGGAAGAGAGCAGTCAGCCTGGGTGGGATACGGAGGCACCTTATCCAAATGACCCGAGGGCATGGACGTCCATACGGAAATAGTGAGGCAGTGTACACACCTGCAGGTGGCCCCAAGACGTCGCTGAGCGTATCCCATGGCGTTGGTCCGAGTATCGCACAATTGTAATGGTATGGTTTGAATTAGTCGAATTGTAATGGTATATCTCCAATAACCGAAATTTGTAATGTTGCCAATCAAAAAACCCAACGACATGCCGAGCTCCTCCTCGGGGATGAGGACGGGCCACTTCTCCCCGCTGTCGCGTAACATCTGCTCCGTGTCGATGCGCCAGCCCCGTGCGAGGATCTGGTCCCGGATGCCCTACGCCGTAGCGTCCTCAGCGGCGATGATGGCCCCCTCGGCTCCGTTGAGGTAGGCCACGAGGACCCGTGGAGGCGGGAGAGTCGGCTGTGACTTGGGGTCCATGGACAGAGGCGGGGAGGGGAGGCGGCGGAGCTCGACGGAGCAGCCGGGTTGAGTCCTTGGCCTTGCGGCCGTTATCGCACGAGGAGCTCCACCGCCGCCACCTTCCATGGGTCCAAAGGGTACTCCACCACCACCTTGGACAGAACTTAAGCATGCCTCCTCCTCCTCTCTGTTGGCGGCCGCCGCCCTTCGTCGTCGTTGTCGGCGCACTTTTCATTGACCGCCTCTTAGATGTTTCGTGCCTGGTTGCGTTGGGGAGGCTTTCCTGGTTCGGGCACGAATGGGTGGGAATCTGGGCAATGGGTAGACGCGGACCCTCTAGGCTGCCGCCTGCACCTTGTTGGGCTGGTTGGGGCGTATCCAACCCGTATATACGTATCAGCCCATGTATCTATAATTGATTCAATAAATTAAATAAATGTATCTATAATTGATTCAATAAATTAAATAAAATGTATCTATAATTGATTAAATAAAAATAAATTAAATAAAGGGAAAATGGGGTTCTTGCCCTTATGCAGGAGTCTAATTGTGATTTTGCCCTTGTTTTCTCAACTTTATGATTTTGCCCTTGCTATTTTGAATTGAATCATCCGTTTGCCCCTGGTTTGGATGCCATCAGATGGTCATGGAATAAATGAATTAAAAAAATTTAAAATCTGAAAAAACAAAGGCGAAAAGACCAAATTGCCCCATATCCTTATATTCAACCTCCATAACTGTGCCTTTCTCACGGGCCGGCTACATCGGCCAGGGGCATCGGGGCATCCGTGGCGGCGGCGTTAATAAGCGTTGCACGGCCTTGTGATGCGGCAATGGCTCCCGGTGGGCGAGGCTCGTCGCTGCAGGCAGCTCCTCCTCCCTCATTCCCGCTCCCCCCGGCGTGGCTCATCCTCCCTCATTCCCGCTCCCCTCGGCATGTCTCTCCTCTCTCTCCGCCACACTCTGGGCCTTGCTGGCTCGTCCGGCGTTTGCCGGCTAGGGTTGCTTGCAAGCTTCCTCCGGTGAGCTCCCTCCACGCGAGCGCGAGCTTCCTCCAGCGTGAGCTCCTCTCCAGAGCAGCTTCGGGCGCGGCGAGGCGCTCCACCCCAGCGCTACCACCTCCTCCAGCGCCCTCACCCCCAGTGTGCCGCCGCCCACCCAGGCCGCTGCTCCCGGGGGCCACGAGGTGTTGCCGTTGCCGTCCCCTAGGCCGCATGACCCTCCTCTTCTGCCTTGGATCTCATCTGCCTGCTGGGATCCATGAGGGTCGCCAAATCTGCTTGCGCTCTCGCTTTGGGATCTGGCGAGAAAGGAGTCGCATGTGGACGAGCAACTCGGCGACGACGCTTCCTCGCCGACGTCCCTAGCTTCGGTGTGTGCTCGATGGACGAGCAGCCTGGTGGTGGCGTCTCCGAGCATCTCGATGGACGAGCAGATCCCCATGGCTCCCATTCTCCGCCAGCGTGTCCCCGCGGCCGCCGCGCCCCGCTGCCGGGGCTAGCCGCGCCTCTCCTCCGCCCCTCCCGCGCCCGCGCACGCGCCGACGGCGAGGAGCCACCACGAGGCCGACCTGTCGGCTCGTGCACGTGGTCGAAGCTCGCTTTCCGGCGAAGCTGCGCCTTTGCCTTCCTTCAGGTGCGTGCTAGTGCCCTGGACCGCCGCCATTTTTCTTGATGCCGTGTACCACCGTCGTTGCCAACTTCCCGCCGCCAAGAACCGGCCAACCAAGTTCGCGACATCGCCCTGGTGCTGTAGAGCCGCCCTGCTCGTGCTTTCGTGGACCGGAGCACGAGATCGAGAGCTGCCCGTACGCTATCCACGCACCTCCCCCGGCGGCGTTCTCGTCCTCAAGACGCCGCAAGACAAAGCGGCCCGCCTCGCCCCGCGTGCCCGCCCCCCGTACCCCTAGCGGCCACAGCCTGACCCTGCGCCCCAGTGGCTAGGCCCTAGCACCGCATCTCCGGTGGCCGCGCCATGGCCGGACGGTCGACCCCGCGCCGCGCGCAACCGAGCCTCGCCTAGGGGCAAAATCACAATTAGGCATAAAAACAAGGGGCAAAATCGCATGGGCATTCATGTCTTTTGTACAAAGTTTAACACCGTTAGGGGTGGATGACGGAGCAGGGGCAAATTGGTGCTTCGTGAATGGCACAATAGGGGCAAATTCACAAAGTTAAAAAAAATAGGGGTAAAATCACAATTTCAATATAAAACAAGGGTACAAATGAAATGTATCTATGGTCATAGCCATAGCATAGCAAAGTTCTGTGTTCACATAATCTCGCAAGCTGAAACATCAAGGTACTGGTCTAATATAGGAGACAGATATCACCACACTGAAATGTCAAATGTGACGGCCTGGCACTAACAAGAAACTCCAAGTCTATCTATCTATGGCTTTGTTTGGTTCCCGAATTTGGGAGTGGCCAAATAATTAACGTGTTACTGTAGCGTTTCGTTTGTATTTGTGAATTATTGTCCAAACATTGACTAAGGCTCAAAAGATTTGACTCGTAAAATACAACCAAACTATGCAATTAGTTTTTGATTTTCATCTACATTTAGTACTCCATGCATGTACCGTAAATTTAATGTGATGGGAAATCTTCTTTTTTTATAGTGTATTTTTCAAGAGTTTGGTGGGAACTAAACATGGCATATGTTATTACCGGATTGTACTCTGAACAAAAGGTGTAAACAGTTTGGCTATTGAAATAGGCTAGCATCACGGCAGTTCTACCAAAGTTATTGACACAGCTGACATTTTCTGCAATCACACCACCAAGAACACCGAAACACCTTGGCTCACATCTTCAGTTCCGTCGTCCATGTCCCCTGAACACTGGGCCGTTTCGTTACGTGTCTGGTTCGCAGCTTCACCACTTTCCTGCCCAGGGAGTTCCTTAGCCTGGTGGCTTGCAGGAGTATTTCCTCTGGCGGTAAATTTCTCACACAGACCACTCGCTCGCTATGGTTTTCTGCACAACAACAAGGCTAGTTAGAAAATTGAGAACAAAACAAAATCAATCATTTCATGAGAAAAACAAAATCAGCGTAGCTGTGGAAATTACAAAGATAAGACAACAAGAAAACAGCAGCTATAGGACAGCTGCGTTCGAGGAATTGTACAATCCAATCCCATAATAATTTTTTTCACTAGTGGAAAATACCAATTCGATCCTACAGGATCTTGCTTGCTTAGTGCATGCAATATTGTAATGGCCCCATATATAAGATCAAACTGACAACACAAGAATCTGTATCAATCCAAAGAATTGTTGGTTGGCGTCCCTCTTATCCCACAAAAATTGCTAACCGGTCCTATTCCGTCCAATCCAAGATGGGTGTAATCATCCATCCTCCCAGCATTCATGACTTCATGAGGATCATGAAATGTGCATAATTCCAATGGAGGTTTTATCTTGACCGTGGTATATTTAAACTAAGGTATGTTCACCTTCAGGCGTGTTATTCCAAACAGGTATTCAAGCTTGTGCAGAGAGAACAGACAAAAATTGGGCCAATAAGGATTCAAGGAGGGATGCTATCACAGCCTTGACAGATAGATGGGAACAGGAAGATGGAAGTTCAAGTTCACATTCATATGATGAGATTCAAGGCTGATATTTATATTTTCCATTTTTTCCCTTTACTTCTTTCTTTCACACTTCTTCATCTCTTACCCTGTCTTGAGGTTTTCCTTTCTTCTTACTTTCTCCTCTCTCTGCCTTTCCTTTACTTTAACATTCTTTTACTCCTGTCGCACTTATTTTGCCAGTTCTGTTTATACATGTACAGCTCTCTTCTTTCATTAATGAAATGGCCATGCTGTGCAATTTTCAACTGAACATGGCAGGTTAAGCTACATTGTATTCCTATAGCGTCTTCTCAATGCCAATCCATACATAAGTTGTATCCCTATCAGGAAACTAGTTCCACAGAATTCATAAATTGCAATGGAAAAGGAAAGTAACCAAGATCTTACTGTAAATTCCCTTCAAGTTAGGATGTTGACCACGGACAAGCTCTGTCACCACTTCTAAGTGTGGATTCTTTTCCTTAAAGGCTGGAAGATGTGCCTCCATGAAGTCCCTGCAATCAGAAAAGGTGCTAGTTGTCAAAGAGCAGAATCAGCCATTGACATCCAGTAATGAATTACCTCATACTAACCAGCACCATGTTTGATCAGAAGCCCATACAGCTACCACTAAACTATAGTGTACTGCTGTACAAGGAAAGTGCTCTAGCTCGAGCTAAAATCTGATGAACGAACACAAGCACAGGCATAGAGTGCCTGATTCTATTGTTGCAACAAATAGCATGTAATTGATCTAAATTGTGACTAAATGGGCAGCTCTTTTAACTCATTCCCAGACATCAGTACCCGCTAGTCCCACAACACATTTCTGTCTAGAAATGAAATTTCCACGCAGGAATGCCCTAGAAAAGCTAAAGAAGCAACAGGATAGTTGTCTTGAGTTTCCAACTTCCAAATTGTAACTGCATACACACCACACTCGTCTGCAACGACGAATCCTTGGCTGGGCACAGTCGACCAACCATCCGACCAATTCCCACATTGAAGAACATGTATTAGCAGTATCTCGACTAATTCTAGCAACAGAACTAAGGAAATGATAAGAAAACACTATGGTCTAATGGAACTACTACCGAAGTGAGGAACCAAAATATATCATCATACCTGATGCCCCTGCTGCTCCCTCCCCAGTCGCAGTAGTTTACCACGAGCTTCTGCAGCTGCCAGACCCCCCTCAGCGCCATCCTTCCGAAGCCCAGAGGTCCCCGCAGTCACCACTCGCCGTCGCCGCCTCGCCGGAGCCCAGAGGTCGCGGATACACGCGCTGTCCCGTCGGTGGAGAATGAAGAAGAACTCGACGCCTCGCCGGTAGGGCCGCTGGCTTCCGCGGAGGCTCGTCGCCGACGGCCGCTGAGCGGCGGCGGCGCCTTGCCTGCGCGAGCCGCGAGTGCGTGCGGGAGGCGGCGCGAGTGAGGAACGTGAGGGGCTAGGGTCAGCCGGTCAGGTCGAGGTGGGCAGGTTCCTGCCGCCTGCACCTTGTTGGGCTGATTGGGCCGTATCCAACCTGTAGATACGTATCGGCCCATGTATCTATAATTGATTAAACAAATTAAATAAAATTCCCTAAAAAAACAAATTAAATAAAATGTGGATACTCAGGGATACATATCTGCGGCATATCCGTATCGGATACGGGATACGGGATACGTCCCTGACCTGAAGTATCTGTGCTGCGTAGGTCGGCAAGAGACGAAGCTGAAATTTTGGCTTCTCCTGGCTATATCCTGAAACATGATGAACCACATGAACAAAATACGCTTATTAATCTCAAATCATCCCATGTAGCTCAGCATCTAACAAAAAAAAAAAAGATGGGTTCAACTGAGGAATCATATTACAGAGCATATGACCGTTTAGGAGATAAACCACAGAGCAACAAAGAGCGTGATAACAAATTAACAATGTACTGAAATGGTGTAAACTTATTATTTTGCATCATCTGGATGAAGTAAACATATGTCGGGAAAGTTCCTAATCTCTGGCTTTGGAGAAAATATTTCTTCACATCTGATTTGTAGTAGCCTAGGAGGAACATAGTAATCATTTAGTGCTAATTTATACATCAGCGGTTTCAAGTTCACATTGTTCAGTTCACCAATACCAGAAAAAAGCAAAGTACTATGCCATCTGCAAAAATATGATTTGCTAATGCCTCCATCGATCAAACCAAGATTATTGTCGGGTTCAATATTGGAATGGGCACATCAAGTTCAACAATAATGATATTCAGGAGCACACTCTTGACCACACAGACAAAAATATTTACTAAAATGTTCTGAGCATCTGAACCTGACTCTCTGTTTATAATACACGAGGACAGTCAATGACATTTAGGCCTTGTTTGGATGCATGTGTATCTACTTTAATTCACATGTGTTGGAGTGGATTGGAATGGAACTTAGTTTAATTCCACTCTAATCCACTTTAACACATATGGATTGAGATGAATACATGTGCATCCAAACAAGACCTCAAAGGTAAACAAAGCACAGGGGAGATGCATTTAGAAAAATATGAATGATCTTTGCTAATACCTTGGGGTAGTAGGCAGGACCCATAGGGAGCTTTGACAGTATCCACTCCTTGATATCATCCACCCCATTACCAAATTTAGCACTTATTGGTATAACATCATCAACATTAGTAATTTTTTGGTACCACTGTCAAAAGAGCTGTCCGGAAATAAATACCAACTGCATGCCGAGGAAAGCACAAAAGAAACAGGGAACCACCTTCCAACAATCGTATCAGGTTCATACCTCAAGTTTCTTTGCGATTTCTCCGGGTTTTATGAGATCTTTCTTGTTCAATACAAGTAGTACAGGGAGTCCAATATCTTTGTTTCCCACACCTTCTTCAAGCATTTCATCAATCTAAAAGCTCAACGCTTGCAAGATGTAAGGTAAAATGATTGAATGTCAAGATGGATTACTTTCTTTCTTGCTGCTGGCAATACCTTTTCAGGTGCTTTGCAAGCATCAGAAACAACCCAAGCACACAGTCAGCGCTGCCGATAGCGCTCCTAACATTCTTCATCATCATACTGTCCACCTTAAGCATCTCCTTTTTAATAACACCAGGAGTGTTATAAAGTATAATCTGCAAACTAAATGATAACTCGATTAGCAGTGAAAAGCAACATGATCCTCTTGATGGTAATGGGACCAGAAACTTCCGAGGACCTTAATTTGCATTGAACTGAATTAAATTCTGATACCTGGTACTCTGGTTCCCCATATACCAAGAATGCGATGTCTTGTTATTTGCGGTTTATCTGTTACAACTGAAAGTTTCTGACCAACCATTTGGTTAATAAGTGTGCTCTTGCCAACATTTGGCTTCCCCAATACAGCAACATAACCTGAGATACCGTATCAGTACGCCAATCTTTCAATGTGGATCAATTTTCTTTCTGGATTTTGACGAAAATGCTCTGCGCATTGCAACTTTGCAAGCTCCATAATTTTACTTTACGAACTAGGACGAAATTTGGCTAATAAAGTTTAGAACTAATTGCATGACCTCAATTCCCAAGCTTAATCAATACTAAACCTGACTAATTTCAAACGCAGAAAGCACAGAAGTGAGGAGCCTAACTGCTGCTGTGATTGGTGCAAAGAGAGGAGCCAAATTCCTCCATCTCGTACTCATCCAGCAGTGCCAGGCTCCGGTCCGGCTTCTCGATACAGGAGAAGATAGAGGTGGATCGTGAATCACTCCGTACTTTTTTAGACCAGCGAGGAGCGACGGATGACGGACGAAGGGGGTGTGGACGTCGCTTTTGGTTCTTCATTGTAGTATATAGATGTAGTAGAAGAGAAGAGAGAGCTCAGCATGACGAACACTACTAACAGAGGCAGGGCATGCACAGCACCTCTCCCGCTTTTTCTCACACAATACCAGCGCTCAAGACCCAGACCCGAGACCCAGATACTTTCACAAGTAAATTATATAAGCGAGTAACAAAAGATACCATCGAAACCTAATAATGGCCCTGTTCGCTTATCTTATAATCCGTACTTTTCAGTTTTTCTCTCACAACAAATAAGCTGAAACAGTTTTTTCAGCGAAGCGAACGAGGCCAATAACCAATAATAAAAGATAGAAACCTTGTGGCATACTAATTTCTTCTGAACTTGACAAAAGGTCTGCGAAAATAAGCAGCAGCCTTACAGAGATTCATTTGCCGGCTCTGTCGCCTGCGTAACAAAATCAGCACTTCACGAAACTAATTAAAAATGTGTGCTACAACATGAAGGCTCGGTACCAACATAGCAACAGTACCAGCGAAGCAGATTAAACTATAATAACCAGATTCCAGAAGAATAAAAAACATCTGGACCAAACTTCCCAATGCTACCTCATTCACAAGCTTCTTCCCAGTCGTCCACCTCTACATCCGGCTGCAGCTTAGTCACAGATGGCCCAGCATTCCCAGCGTTTGGTATTGCGCTGTATGCAGCATCCGTGCGCGGAGCAGGCTTTCGCTCATCGCCTGGACCAGAGCTTGCAGCAGCGTCTGAGTCCAGAACATTCCATCGGTTCGGAGTACCCATGACTTGAGAGGCAGTGTTGGCGCCTCTCCATCCAGGTGCTGGAGCATGGCCAGCAACACTAGTCCAGTCTCCAGAGGGCAGATCAGGCTTCTTCCATGGATTGCTCCTAGCAGTGAGCCCCCCATCCTTCTGCTCTCCAATCCAAACATTGCCTGAAGAAGATGCCTGAGCGCTGCTTGGCATAAACATCGCAGCGCCCTGGTAAGCAGAGCCATAATCCAGCCGCCTCAGCGCTGTTGCTGCTCTAGCTGGATCATTGAATACAGCAATGGCATTCTTGTCATTCAGCCAGACCAATTCACATTCCCCACCAAACCTTAGGACTAGAGCGTTGACATCAGCATCCCGTGGCAGGTCAAGCATGGCGACAACTAGCCTCGGATCCATGTCAACAAGTGGATCAAAGTAAGGATGGGCAGCTGTAACAGGTGCTCCTGCCTTGGATCCCAGTATGCGAGCAGGCGGTTTTGATTTGGGTGTGACATGGATAGTAACAAAACGCTTAGGCTCACAACAAGCCGCCTTGACAGAAAGCTTCCACCGGCCTGCAATTAGCCTGATGGCATCTCTCTTGTCCTTCAACATGGGGCAAAAGACATGCAGTTTCAGATTGCTTGAAGAACTGCCTCTCACCTTGCCAAGTACAAGGAACTTGCACCTCTCTTCTATGGCCAGCACCCACTTTGGCTCACGCCGGAACAGGTCAGAAACCAAATCTGATGAACTTGAATTCTCACCAACATGCAATGCATCCAAATTGGGTGGAGTGATGTCAAATGCTTCAGCAAGGACCCTCTTCTTCTCCATCTTTGCACACTCCTCATCACAAGAAATCTTCCTCTGCCCAAGAGGCACCCTCCTCCCATTTGATTCCACTGGCTGGAGTGGCAATGGCAGCTTCTGTATGATGGAGACTTCAAACATATTATCACCCGTGGAGGATCCACCAGCACCGCAGGGAACAGTTGCAGTGATTCGGCCACAAGAACAGGTAATAGTCACTGCAAATTCACATCTCAAATCTGGGCATTGGGAAGATGGGTGACATGGGGCAGTGCATGTGTGCTTGCATTCTCTCCTTGCAGCACCACATACCTGTCCACAAGCTGCTTTGCCACCAGAGCTTGAGCTAGCATCTCCATTTGCAGGTGTCTGATCACAAGGGGGAGGATGGCAAGGCCTGTTGCAAGCATGGATTCCACATTGGCGATTCTTCCCACATGATTGGTTGCACCTGATATCCTTCGATCCGCAAGGGATATTCCTCAGCATCACATGCCCCCCAATGCATTCTCTCATCACTGGCACGATACAAGGCGGACAGTCCCCAAAATGGCATGAATGTGAGGCAGGATGTCCGCAAGGCTGGGGAACTGAGCACTGATGTGGACAAGATGGTGTCGGTGTTCCACAAGGCAGAGGTGGCGGGAGAGAAGTTCTGCCACAGGCACAAGTGAGATCAGTGAATATAGTCTCAAAGCAGGGTGGGCAATGACCACTGTGGCAGAGTAGCTGGCACGCATGCTGCCCACACCGGAGCTTCTTGCCACATGATATCTGGCAGAGATGAGGATCCCAGTTGCCACCTTCAAGCTGTGCAACTTTCCTAGACAGTGGGCAACAGAGCTCACTGCACCGATGCCTCCCACAGTTCTTCTTGCGACCACAAGGCTTGTTGCAGCGGAACTCTTCCATTGCGACCTTGTAGCACTCTACCATCAGACCTGATGAGCCACAACGGCACTTCTGCTCAACGCGGACCAAACAAGGTGGACATTCTCCCTCATGGCAATTGACCTTGCACCTATGCACCCCACATGGCAGTTTCTTATCGCATATCTTGTCGCAGGTGGGGATTGCGTCCAAGCAGCTCGCCCTCCTCTCGTGCAGCCTGGTCTTGCCGCAATGGCATGTACTGACCTTCCCTGGCATGAGCTCGCAGTCTCCACAAGGCCCTGGGTGGCACATATCCTTGCAAGCATGATTGCCACAGGCAAGTGTGCGGCCACACACCTCATTGCAAGAAAACACCCTGTCCTCCTCAGACAGCTTCCCCTTTACCATCATGTCTCCACATAGGAATGTCTCATTCTTCTTCCCGCAGAAGCACCGTGCAGAGATGAGAACCGCACAATCCCCGCAAGAACCAGTGTGGCAAACCTTCTCACAGCGATGCCTTTTGCAAGGTAGCATCTGTTCACAAGGGCGGCCACAGGTCACAGGCGTGCTCCGGTCCGCACACCGCCGCACGATGATCTGCTTCCCGCAGGGGCAGGGCCGATCCGGAGCAAATGCTTTGCAGGGCGGGCACGGGCCCGGGTGGCACTGAAGGACACAGACGTGCGGGCAGCTGGTGGCGTCAACATCCTCCCCCTTGGCGCCCGGCTGTTCCGCCCTCTCGAGAGGCTTGGAGCAGGGCTCGCCGCAGGAGTGGGGTGTTAGGAAATGGTCGTTGGGGGGGTCTCTCCGGCGCCCGCAGAAGCAGGTGTAGGCGAGGTCGCGGGCGGGGGTGGCGTACACGGACTGACACCCCGGGCAGCGCCAGGAGGGGGAGGCGGGGTCTGCTGCCGGGGATGCCTCGGCGGCGGAGGCCGGGGAGCGCACCCACTTGCGGATGCAGGGGAGGTGGAATATGGAGAAGCAGCTGCCGCAGGACCAGATGGGAGCCGACCGCCGCACCATGTCGTAGCATATCATGCACTCCACCGCGCCGCGGGCGAGCTTGTCTTGGATCTCCTGCACCAGCTGCGGCACCGCCCCATCGCCCCGAGTCGCCGCCGCAGGCGCGGGCGCGGGAGCGCGCTCACGGGCAGGAGCAGGCGGCGCGGGAGCCGGCCTCTCCGGCGGCGGACCGCGGCGACGGTATCTCGCGCTGTCGTTCTGCTCCTGAGGCGGGGCAGAGTGGCGACTGTGGTTGTTCCCGTTGTTGTTGCCGTGGTTGGAGCGGCGCGAGCGGCGGTGGGACGGCCGGGCCTCCGAGGCCGGGGTAGGGAAGGGCAGGATAGGGCCGGCGGCGTCGGGGCCCGCGGCCGCGCCGGGGAAAGAGGCGGCGGGGCTGGGGTTGGGGCTGGGGCGGGGGCGCCACTCGGAGCGGGAGGCGGTGGCCACGGGTCCAGCCCCGCGACGGCGATCGGTGGAGGGCTGCATACGGCGGCGGGACGGGAGGGGTAGACCTAGGGTTGCTGCGCCGCCCGCCGTCGGGTCGGGGTGTTGGCGGTGGGGTATGGAAGAGTGTTGGTGCAGGGGTGGAGTGCGGTGTGGGGTGTGGGGGGAGGGGAGGGGAGGCGGCGGCGGGGGTAGTGGTGGTGAGGAAGGGGAGGGGTGGGAGGAATGGGGTATTTGATTGGGAAGAGCCTTGGAGAGGCGGCGAACCGGCGATGGGGAAGGAGGAAGGAGGCAGGCGACCTGGGTCGGTCGGTTCGGGGGGCTTTTACATTTTTTTCCATTTTTAAGATTGACGCTCACCAGTCTTAGGATGGTACCTGTAAGTTTAGTAGATGAGAAAAGTTTGAGTTTTTAATTTATTATATTTGTGCATGTGGCAAGTTATACTAGCCCGATATGCTGGCGCCCAGTCAGCAGGCGCAGGTAAAATGTCATCGCTGCCCCTGCCTATTTTCTTCATTACGCCGCATCTCACCCGCTCATTTCGTCCCCATCCCACCAGCCGCCGCCGACATGTTCTTCCCCCGCGTTGTCGCCGCCTCCTGCTCCCCTCCCGCCATCCCTGCGCCACGGTGACCGCATCTAGTGAGCGGGACCGTTGGTGAGCGCAGTGAAGGTATGTGGCCTTACTCCCTCTTTGCACCTAGGTCCCGTGTCCATTAGGGTTTAGGGTTATGGCTCATGGACGCTGACTTTGTCTTCCTCGGTTGATTGTTCCGTGGGCTTGTGATGTAGTGGAAAAGGTGGTGTCAACCCGTGTCACAATGGCTAGCAGCAGTGATTGCCGATCACAGAGGGCGGAGTCGTCCAGCGCCAGTAGGGCGTTGAGGAGGCAGGAATGAGGCGGGAGCTCCGTGCGCGCGCATGCTGTGGCGTATCTGGTCGGTAAAGAAACTGGGCTTCCTTTGATTCAATGTCCGGATTGCCATCTGGCCCGTGTGATCGATCGAAGCATCATCAAGGAGACACTCCCAACAAGGGCGGAGCTTTTTCAAGTGCCCAGAGATGGGGGGCGGGCTTTTGTTGTGTCTCCATCTCTCTTGCTTTCTTTGTTTGAAATTTAGAGTTTAACAATCATGAAATGGTGTTTGCAGAATCCGAAATTGTATGGATTCTACAGATTCTAGAATGAGTACCTAGATGAGCTGATTGAGAAGAAGATCGTCATTATCAACTATAAGGAGGTCGAGGAACTAGAAGAAGGATCAAAGGGCAGTGAATATGCTAACCATGAGGAGAAGGACCTGGAGAAGAAGATGGAGAACCTGATGTGGAAAATGAACCGTTTCATTGTTGTTGTTGCAATTGTTGTGTTTGGAATTGTTGTCAGATCAGTTATAATGACTTGATTTGTAGCAATGTGTTTGAAAATGAATTGAACATGATGTATGAACCATTTGCAATGAAACTTTGAACTGTGTTGTCCTTTGGTTGTTGCGATTATAAAATACCTATTGTATCGCAATTTGGTATAATTTGCTTTATAGTCCAGATATCCTTGTGTTGTTTGATTCATTTGAGAACTGGAAGCCTGGAAGTAATGTCGCATTGACATGCATTGGAGGCTTAGACAACACCCTGCCTTGTGTATCTAGCTGTATACAGCTACTTGTCATCACATAAAGGTCGCAGAAGGAGGTTAGGTTGTCTCTTTTAGTTCCTCAGAAATATGTAGTTGTGGATCAAATACGTTATTTGTTTTCTCCTTGATTCATTTAACTATGGCAAATAACAATGACAGATAGGGTACATGCAAAATAAGATAGAGGCAAATAACAATGACAGAAAGGGTACATTAAGGTTGCAACTCCTGGCCATTATACAGGTAGCAAATTCTGGACATACAGATAGAGTTTAGCGTCCATTACACATAACAAGTTCAACTTGGGGCATTACATGCTGTTTTTGTTCCCATCATTATATAATATTGTTTTTGCAAAATAATGAAAGTTCATGATATTGGCAAAACAAGACCAGTTAGGCTCCTGTCTTTCTCTTTCCTCCTCTTGTCTTTGTGAGGTGTCTTCTTCACCTTAGTTGCCAACTGCTTTTTCCTAGGAGTCATCTTCCTAGCTGGCTGCACTTCAACCTCCAGTGCATCTTGAGCAAATAAGGACATGTGGAAAATAAAGTTTGATTAATGATTGATTTATTACACAGGTAATCCATTATCAATTATCATGCTGTCAGTGGAAGAAGAGCAGTGCCTCCTACCTGTTGTGGTCTGAATAGCTGTCTCTGGGAGCTGAACTTCTAAAGCCATCACCTCCATCACTTGTTCATGTGCTTGAGTTGTTGAAAATTCATCCCTTGCTACTGCTTTGCTTGGCGCATCGCTTCTTTCCTTCTTTGCTACTTGGTTGCTTCCCTTCTTCTTCTTTGCTTGGTGCATACGCTTCTTCCCTTTCTTCTTTGCTTGGGTTGCTTCCCTTCTTTCTTCTTGCCTTTAGCTCTAGTTCTAGATCCTCCCTCTTAGCCTTTGCTGCTGCCTCCCTTGCAATAGCTGCTCTAGTCCTTGGAGTTGGTGCTTCCTCAGCAGTGGTACCTTTTTTGCCTTTTTTCCTCCCAACCTTGACTGTGGTCGTCTTTGCTCTCTTCCTGCAATAATGATAGGATCAATTTCATATTGTAATGTAACAAATAAAGAAGAATTGAGAAGGTACCTTTTCTTGGTGCTAGTGAGTGGACATTTCCAGCTACCACCCCTATGACCATACTCACTGCAGTTAGGACACCTCACTTGCCTTGTTGCCTTACCACCTGCTCCTTTGCAGACTTGATCCTATTTTTCCTTAGTCTTCCAACTTCTCTTCTTTTGGCATGGAGGGTGCAGCTTTAACCCTTTGTCTACCTCAGGACACTGGTTCCTATCAGTGATATTAGGAATGATACCCTCATATGCTGCTTGAAACTTCTGAACTGAATAATACTGATCCACAAATTTGGCCATATCTGGTTGCCTGATGCTGGTAATCACAGCTAAGGCATGGGGACATGGTTGACAAGTTATCTGCCACTATCTACATGTGCAAACTTTGTCAACTAGGTACACAACATGCCTTCTCACTTCTTCATCCTTGTAGACCTCTGTAACCTTAGCCTGATTTGGGTGCCCCTTGGAAATGGTCAGGTGTCCAAGTCCCCTAGATGTTGCATTCAGTTGATGGATGATCCCAGGCAATATACCAGGTGGGAGGGCCCTTGAAATCTTCCTCCTTTAGGCAAACAAGACCATTATCTTCTCTCTGATTGCATCTGCCATGCAATGCACAGGAAGATCTTTGTGCTCTTTGATCCAACAATTCCATGATTCTGCTAAATTGTTGTTGATATAGTCACACTTGATGTGTTCTGAGAATTTACTTCTAGCCCATAGAAAAGGATGATGCTCTGTTAGCCATTTCTACACATCTAGACTAGCTCGGAAGACTTTATCAAAAAAGTACTTGAATTTGTGTGGTGAGTAAGCTCTAGCTGCAGGCCACATGTTTTTGCCATACACATCACCAGTGTAGTATTTCTTCATGTTCTCCATTAAGTGCCTGAAACATTCTCTCATCTTTGCTTGTGGAAATACTAGTCTAACAGCTGACTCCAACCCTTTACATGCATCAGTGTAGATAGCTAGCTTATCTATGGGTCCAATGGACTTACTAAGTTGCTCCATAAACCAGACCCAATTTTCCTTTGTCTCTGACTCAAACAATCCAAAGGCCAGAGGAAACATCCAATTGTGGCCATCTAAAGCTAAGGCTGCAGGCATGTGGTCATTCCACATCCCATTAAGTGTAGTGGAATCTACACTTATGTAAGACCTGCAGCCATTCAAGAATTCATCTATACTAGCCCTGAATGCACAGAAGAATCTGCTAAACCTAATTTTCCCATCCTTAGGATCAGTAACAGTGTCTATCTCTATAACGCTTTCAGGTGATCTCAGCTCTATCTCAGCCTTAAACCTAAACAAATAATCAAAAGAATCATTCCATTTACCAAATAACTTATCTGATGCTCTCTGCCTCCCATTGTACACTATCTGGTAGGGGATGTCAATCTTGTACTTGTAATTCAGCTCTTCTTTGAGTTCTTTAGCCCCCATTTGTGGGTTCCTCTTGAGGTAGGGGATTGCTCTCTCAGCCACCCAAGCTATAGATGCCATCCTGCTGACAACCCTTTGTGTAGATGCACAGTTATGGACCCCCTGATTGATTTCAATCTGCATAATAAAAACAAAAGGACATATGAGGACAACAAAAAAGCAACATTCAACAAACACAGAAAAAGATGTTATTCAATAATCAAAAAAAATTGTACCCTGACACTGCCATCATATTGGGTTCTAGCTCTAAGAATCCATGGGCAGCCTAGAGCAGCACAATTAGCCCTGACCCTTTCTTTGTCTGAATGCTCAGTATCATACTTAAACTCCTTAATTATAGCATGCTTCCTAACAGCTAGCCTAAACTCAGCCATGCTGGGATAGCATATGCCAACACTCATATCAGGATTGTCCCTGTCCCATTCATGCATTGGTTCTACATCAACTGTATCATCAACATTAACAGCTGCGTCATTCATATCTGCCTGCATCTCTGCTGACATAGCTGGAATGGGCACCTCTTCTCTAGATCCTTCTGCTGTTGTCTCTAACTCCATGAACCCCATTGCCTCATAAACCTTGTCCTCATCAGCAACCTCTTTTGCTAAACCATCATCATCAGGCTGCCATATTATTGTTAGAGTAGTCCAGTCAACTGCTATAGACAAATCAGTAGGTGTTTCTGCTGGGGAACTGCAGGTATCATCACAACCTTCAGCATCATCATACACAACACGTGAGCCACCAATTGGCCCACTTGTGACACCAGAGACACATCTAGCTTTAGAAGCACCAGAGCTGACATTTGCATTAGAACCACCCTTCCTCACAACATCCACTGTAATAACAGCCAACCTCTCATCCCATCTATCCTTAATCATCT